CTTTATAGTGCTTCTTCAACTAACTCCAGCAAATTTCTGTTTTTCGTTTGTAAGAAAATTGGGTACAAGTGATCGTTGGGAAGAGTTGCAAAATTAGTTTTTTGAGCTCAACATTTATTATGCACATCTTCCTCACGCATAATTATCATAGTCATCCTTTTTAACACTATGTCTGTGATATAAGGCCTTTCTATTTATTTATTTTTTTTTTCATATGCACCCACAATAAATATATGTTTTTTTTTTCTTTTCATATGCATCCACAATTAATACTTTTTTTTTTTTTACAATTACAAGAAAAAGCACCAAATAATTACCATCATTATTATATAATAGCACTGGATTTCTGAGAAAAGACACAAAGCTTCTGGGGGAAGATACAAGACTTCTAGGCAAAGACACAAAGCTTCTGGGTGAAAACACAAGACTTGTGGATGAAGATACAGGATGACCAATATTATTATTAGGTGATGGGACTGAACAAACAATACCATCAGGTGATTGTTTTAAATTATTAATATTGTCAGGCAAAAAATCTAAATAAAAAAAAATAGACAGTATTAAAAAAAAAAAAAAGTAAAAATCTAATAAATAAAATAATTTTATTAATTTTAATACTAGCCATATCATCATCCAGATCTACTTCATAATTAGCATTAGAAATTTTAATTGTATTTGGTATTTCTTTTTCATCGAAGATATTATTTGCATAAAGTTCATTTACCAGAGTACAATTACCATGGGGCTTGTCACCATAAACTAATTCATAGAGGGTTTTTTATGCGATATATACTATGAATTGTTCATAGCAACCACAACGAATCTCAAACCAAATAACTAGTCATTTTGGCTATTAGTTTCTCTTTATTTACCTAGTTTTTGCTCCAAGATGCCATTAGCACGTTCTACTAAACCTTGTGACTGGGGATGCATTGGGCGTCTATTTATAATCTTCACTGATTGCCATAGCGCAATTAGTTCTTTGATAACTTGTGCTATGAATTCCTTGCTATTATCCGATTGTAATATAATCGAGAATGATCCAATCATGTGAAAAAGGTCAAAGAGAAAAGATGCAACTTCAATTGGTCTTTTTGATGTAAGTGCCTTAGCCCACGAAAACCTACTGAAGTGGTCTCTTACATGATACACATATTTGAACTTTCTATCAGGAATGTAGAATAAATCAATAAGGTCCATTTATATAATAAACTATAATTAAAGTATAATTTAATTAATTTTTAAAAAAAAAAAAACTAAAAATTTACATTACCTGCATCCTAGATATAAAATTTTTGGCAATTATTGGCTTCGCCGCCAAAGAGTAGAACGCTGGCTTTCTTATTGCACATTTTGTATAATTGTTTATGAATTCTTCTATGATTGATTGTTTAATATACCCTTATCTTTCATGAATTGAGGTCTATGTTTGCCTCTGACTACCATGCTGTGTTATTTTATCATAGGTTTGATATAGAACATCATAAAATTTTTCAACTATTAACACAGGATTATTCATGGCTTTTACAAGTACTCTGTAATCTCCAGGTACAATTTCTTCAAGTATAAATTTGTTTTAGCCCAGAACCATAAGTTTTTATCGTAGAGCGAAATATTTTTTGGATTTAATAGGATAGTCTTTATTTTATTTAAAAGCTCATTGTTTATTAAGGCCTTTTATTGTTTTGATTTTGGAAGGTTAGTTAAATATTTTTTCACAATTTGGTTAAAAGTATTTCTACTAATGAACATATAATCTATTTTAAGAGCAAGATCAAAGTTGCAATGCCAAAGAACAAAGCCAATACTTAAAAAGATAAGAACAAGACAGTAAAATTAGGTGCAAAGAAGTGCCAAAGAACAAAGCCAACATTACAAAAGGTAAGAACAAGATCAAAGTTATAAGCAAAATTAAGCATGCCAAAAAAAAAAATTAATGCTTAAGGGAGGCAAGAGCAAGACCAAAGTTATAATGCAGCACCAAAGAACAAAGTCAATGTTAAGGAAGATCAAAGTTATAAAGTAAAATTAGGTGCACCAAAAAAGCAAATGCAAGAACAGACCAAAGTTATAAAGCAGTGCCAAAGAACAAAGTCTAATGTTAAAGAAGATCAAAGTTACAAGTAAAATTAGATGTGCCAAAGAAAAAAGCAAACATTTAAAGGAGGAAAGAACAAGGTCAGAGTTATTATGCAGTACCAAAAAACAAAGTCACATTAAAGAAGACCAAAGTTATAAATAAAATAAAATTAGGTAGCTATTTTTCTATTTATATTACTAGACTATTTATAAGTTGAAAATATTGTAACTATGACTATGAAAGATATAATGCTAAGATATTATAATTCTATAAGTTGATTGCTAATTTTGGTAGCTGCTAATTCGCATATGGCCGATTTTGGTAAATCGCTCATTCATATAGGTGTGTTGCCCATTATGTGAGATGGGCGTGATCGGATGGGTTGCCAGATGTGTTTCTCTGTACATCGGAGGCAGTTGTTGAGCCCCATGCAGTGATTCTGGTTTTAATCTGTACTGAGTATTTCGGATGAAACACTTTTGATATTATTCATCTCATCCTTATTCCAATAATAGTTAATTTGTAAATCAGTTACTTTTCCTGTTCAGAAGTATTCATTATAATACTGAGGTATGCATTTTTTAAATATATATTTTTTAAAATAATGAAGAGTTGGTGTAAACAATTCATGTTGACATTCTTTGTAAGTCATCCATTTTCTTGTCTTCGCTTTAGTTGTTTCAATGGTTTGTAATTGTAAATAGTCCATTGGTTTGACGTAGTATAGAAAGGTTACTATCTCTATTTGTTTTGAACAATCTTTTACAAAGTGTTTTCCTCAAATAGCTAGTTCTGTTCTATCTTTGTTTATTGATAAGTATTTATGATTTAATATTAATTGTAATCTGTCCTATTCTATTTTATATTCTAATTTTTCTAATATTTTTCTTTCGGCTGTATCTTTTATTGTTTGGTCAGAAGGCTCTACACTTCCTCCTCCTGTTTCTGTTGATATAGATATATTGGTACGTCTAGTCATGTTGCAGTTAGTATTTTAAATTTTTGATGTTGAACAGTAAATAGTATGGTTACAGTGTATTGCTTAGTAACTATTTTAGGCCATTCTGTACTTCTTTCTTCTATTCGATCTTGATATTAACAATCATGAATGAATATTGTTCTAAACATGTGACTGAGGTCTTCAATATTATTTCTGATAATAATATATATTCGGGGTATAATATCAGTACCATTCTTTGATATCTTTTATATATTTTAGTAAGATATTCTTTTGGTATTTGCTTATCTGTTTTTTTGTTTTTTTCTTCTTTATCTCTTCTTTTTATGAAGTGTTTAATCATTTCTTCTTTTTCAGGGTCAAAATATAATTGATATTCAAATTTTTTGAATATTTTAAATGTGATTTATTGAATTATTTTATCTAGAATTTGTAATTCTTTTTTATTAGTAATATTTTCTTTAGAAAATACTTTAGTATCGTAGTATGCTTGATCGCTTAGAATATAAGTTTTTGAGGTAATTTTTCCTTGTGCTTCTAGTAATAATATCTGTTGATATTTTGTTGCCCATTCTTGTAGAATTGTTAATTGTATGGCAAAGGCATACTTTTGCTGTTCTTGGTAAAATATCGAAAGTAGTTCTTTATATCCTAAAGTTATTTCTTCATGTAATATAACATGTTGTTATTTTTCTATGAGCCATTTTTTTAGGTCTTTAAAAGGGTTAGTTTTTTCTACTCCTATTGATCCTGTTGCTACTATAATTTGGCTTAAATTGGTTGTTTATCTAAGAGGTCATCAAAGTAGTCATATTCATCGTTAATGGTTGCTTGAATAATTTTTGATGTTGGGAATATTATTGATTCTGAAGTGTTTAATAATTCACTAAATCTTGATTTATATTCTGAATTATCATTTTTTGGAATTTTTCTAGTTTTGATTGTTAATTCATTTATTCTTTTCTTTGATCTTTCTACTGTTTCTTTTGAAAATAATTGTTTTTCTTTTGAAAATTCTTCTTTGATTTTAATTATTTGGGGTAATTTTTGTCCTTTTATTTTTTGTATTATCATTTCTAGCAAGAGGCTTTCTCCTCTTAATTCTTGTATTATTTAATAATTTTTATTTCTTTCCATATTTAATGCATTTATACTTCTTAAATTATAGACTTGGTCAATTATCTCAATGCATTCTTCAATTTGTATACTCTTTTTTATTGTTTGCATCACATTTTCTATTTCTTTGACTATTTCTGTAGTCACCATGTTGTTCTTATCCTATTTCATTTTTTCATTCTTTGTCTCTTAATAATTTATCAATATCTAATTGTAATATTTCTTCAAGTGCTTTTATTTTTAAAATATGTTCTTCAATTTGTTCTTTGATTTCTTCTTTTATGTTTCTTAAGATTTTGTCATTCCAAAATTTATGAAGTTTTAGCTTTCTTAATTGTTTTTGTGAAGCAATTTCTTTTTCTAGTTCTTTTTGTTCTTTGTTTCACTCTTTAATTATTAGTCTGTAGAGGCTAATAGACTCTCTAAAGATCCAGATGAGATGTATTTTATAGTATTCTACTAATATATATATTATATCTTCTTCTATTGATTTTTTATTACTTTGATATTTTTGTCTTGCTTCTTCTGATAAACTATATATTTTGGATCTTTCACAATCAGTATCTCCATTTGTTCCATTTTTTGCAGTTATTAATGATTGCCACAAAATGAAGAGTATTTTTCTTTTGTCATTTATCCCAAGTATCAGGTTAATTTGGTTTTTAATTGTTCAATACTTTGTTGTAATCTTTGTTGAAGTCTTTCTCTTTCAAGAGTATTTTCAATTTTATTTTTTGTAGAATCTGATAATATTTCTGCTATTAATGCTCTGAGATAGTCTTTTAATAATTCTCTTTTTTCAATTTCAATTATTTCAATCTTTTCTTTTATTTTGTAGAATAGGAGATTATTATTGGTTTCTTCATTGATTGATATCACTAGTTTTTCAAAGTCTTTGAGTATATAACTTTCAAATACTAGTATCAGGCTTCTTATTTCAAATAATACTAAGGTTAAGGATAATGGTCTTATTCCTTCTTTAAATCTTTGAATTTCTTTTTCTGTTAGAAAAGTTATCAAATGTTGTTTGTTAGAAATCTAAATATTTCTTCAATTTCTTGTTCAGAAAGGTTATTGTTTTTAATATATTCAGATATTTGTTTTAAGAATACGAATATTTCTTGTTGAATAAATTCTGCTATCATTTATTTTTCTTTTCCTTTTCTGAGAAAATATTCGTCGTTTGAGCTTGATTTAAGAGGTAAAGTATATCTTGTTAGACAATATAAGTTTTCAAGATTATGGAATATCTTGTTAAGACAATTATTTATTCGAATTATGTTATTGATAATTTGGTCTTGTTTTTCTTTCATTTTAAGTTTTCTTGTTGTAGTTGTTTAATTATTTCTTCTTGACTTTCCATTCACTTTTTGAAAGTATGAAAGTGAGAGGTTTTTCTGAAATAGGTTGAATTTTCTTCTTCAAGGTTAGAGGGTAGAATATTTGTTTAGGCAGAGGTCGGGTTTGAACCGATATAGTTAACTAAAGCAATAATTTAATCTTTCAAATTCTTTGATTGCTATTTTCTTGAATTCTTTAAGATCTTTAATTTCTTTTTGTAATTGTTTAATCCGATTTACTTGATCTTCTATCCACTCGTAAAGATTGTGCTGTTTTTAACTAGAAGTTGAAAGTTTTTCTAAAATAAGCTAAAGTGCTAATTTTTGATCTGATAGGTGCTAAGTATTCGGTTGGGCAGAAGTCAGGTTTGGTCCAATATGTTTGACTGAAACAATTGTTTATTCTATTGAATTCTTCAATTGCTTTTTTTTTGAATTCTTCGAGTTCTTGAATTTTTTGTTTTAGATCAATAATTTCTTTAACAACTATTTCATTGAGTTGATTTTTCATTATA